CGTTGACCTTTGGAGACATCATTAATATAAATAATTTTTATGGCCGTTAAATAAGAAATGTTTCTTTCACAAGAAATGTATAAAATTACAGTACTAAACAGACGATAGGTCGCCTAACTCGCCGTAGCGTGACGCTAGACGGCGAAAAATATATATTTAATTATAATAAAGTTACAATAAATTAAGTTAATATATAATTATATATACAGTACCTAATTTATATATAATTAATATATAATTATATGTACAGTACCTAATTTATATATAATTTATATAATACTGTCCAGACGATAGAAATCTATCCGTAGCGTGGCGCTACGGGACGGCGGGTAAGTAGTTCGGCTGCCCGATGACGTTTTACGTATTATAGGAGTTATTTTTACCGTTGTTTACGGATAATGCCACAATTTTTATAGGAATCATAACTATAGGAAACGGTTTTATAGGGGGATCTACTGTATATATAGATAAAGAATTTTAAATGGTAATGAAAAAGTAGAATCTTCATTGGAGATACAACAGGCAACTTCTATCTCCTCGTCCCCTCGACCTTTTCCCGCCAAATTTTACGTCATCGATTCCCTAATGCCCAATCTCCCGCAAAATTTCAGAAATTTTCGACAAAAGGCGCGGGAGTTGTCGAGTTTCGAAGTGGATGAACGAAATTGCGTCCCCCCAAGCAATGATGTTGCTTCGTTAATTCTACGATATTACAATTCACATATTGTTCGATATAATTAATACTTTAAATAAGACTAATCTAAATTAAGCTAATTAATACATAGAATATAATTAAAATATTAATATTTAAATGACGTTTTACTGGCAGTAAGTAGAGGAAAAGTCAACTTCCAGCAACTCCACTTGCCTACAGCCTAAGTTCGTTGGTATAGAAAAAGTTTACAGAAAATACGATTATAGAACCAGTGTTTGGTCTATAGACTTTAAACTTTATAATGTAATAGCAATATACAATGTGGACACACAGATTTACGTTAACCGCATCGGAAGGGGAGCATAGAACGTTTGTAGTTGTCAGGAGATTTACGAGTTACAAATTACCAGTAAAATGCGTCGTGTAAAATGTTTTATAACGAGCTACAAGCAACTATTCGTAATCAATTTTCATCGCTTAAGGTTACACAGATGCATGGGATACTTTGCTGAATTATATGTTTTAAAGATCGGAGATTCCAAAAATGACTTCCGTAACATTTCATCACGTATAAGTTTTTTTTTTTGCAAAATAAAAACAAATAATTGATAAAAACTGTTATTTATTACAATGAACTAAATATATTATATTTACTTATGACACCTTTTCTTCTTCTCTTTGATACTTTTCTCCGAAATCGTTTCCAATTTCCTTCTCTGGTTTCTCTTCTGAGCATCCAACAGTAGTCAACTAACACACTGATATATCATTTTCCTCGGTAACGTCTCTCGATATCACGGACATCCTGGTGAATTTTTGCACTAATTACAATAATTTCTTGCGTGGTGTTTCGCGTGACAGTTTAAATACATTTTCAGAAGAATTTCTATAAACAATATTCTTCTGCGTGACTGTCAAAATGGCGTATTAGACTCAGTTTAGGTGAAAAACTCCGTTTGCAATACAGAACAAAAGGAACATTTTGTCCTTTTAAATGTGCGTAAATTATCAAATTAAAAGCATTCTTACAAATTTTAGAAAATGAGGAAAATATTACAATTGAATATTATTTCCTCCACTTCGTATCTCGGAAATCGTAAATGGGGAGATTACCGTGTGTACTTCTTACGATCAATATAGATTCGTTCGGAACTTCGAAACTTCGGAACTTTAATAGAAAATATACTAAATATTTGCAAATATTCTTTGAATTTTTAAATAAATAAGTCTATTCATAAAGCAAAAGTGTCCTTCGTACAGAAAATTTTGCAAAAACATGGACTTCATACCGACAAAAACTTCTATTCCTACGGCATGGATTCTAACGATGGATTATCTACAGTGTAACGGCATTGGCCATACAATTTTCGGGTACCAAAATTTCGGCGGTAAAGCAAAAATTCGGTCTCATCATTATAATTTGTTTTAATCTTTGCTCGGTGGCGAAGATCTCTGCAATAAACCAGTAAAAATCGAAATATTATGGCATTAAAAGAGGTCGTGATCTGATTATATTTGCGTGTTCTCACGTTTTAAAAATTTAATTAATTTATAATTTGATTCGATCCGAAAAAGATTGACAGTTAAAATATCAATAAAAATTGCAGCCCGGCATTGTGACGATGTTGATTATCACCAAAATTTAATAGCATCGATCACCCCAAACACCACAAACTTTCCCGCACAATTTCAGAAATTTTCGACAAATGCTTAGAAGTTATTAAACTTCAAACAGGGTAAACAAAATCCTGCCCCCCCACACATTAACATCTATATGTATAGAAAAAATCCTCAATATTTCTTCGTTTCGAAAACGTTATTGTAAATTTTTAAAAATAGTCTTATAAAAGAGAAAAATATTTCCTTTATAACCACGTTATTTTCGACTACTCGCCCGTCGGTAAATCGCCTCATTTGCATATTAACGCCATCCGGAAAGTCGCTGGAAAGCTTTCAGTGTGGCAGTCCGGGAGGAAGTAGTGAGATGCTCTTAGAGAAGAATCTTCGAATTCACCCGTTTGAGTTTGCCTCAAACAAAATGCTAAACGTAGTAGAAAAAGGAAGATTCGATGAGGATCGAGTGAGTATAGTAGGACGTAACGGCCAATCTTTCGTCGTGTGGAGAAAATCCTTGATAGAAAAGGGAGGATTACTGAAAAACTCCGTAACGTTGTGTCCGAACGAAAGCAAGTTTATCCTCAAACTACCTCTAACACCGGGAACACTGAATCAACTCGTCAGGTTTGTATAAATCTAGTCTTTAAAAGTTAATTTTGCGCTCGATATACAAGTATATTACGTAACAATACGATAAATCGTACGGAATGAAAAATTCCCCGTCCGTTTAGAAACATTGGCGCGAGTATCTAAAATAATTTGCATACGTTAACAACCGGAACGAAAGCAAACATTGGCCAAATCCAATTGTTCGTTTATCTGTTTGACTCGAGGATGTAACGTAGTGTACTTGGAAACTTTTAACACAGAAATGTATTTTTGTAATCGTGTCAATAGATATTATTAGTATTTGTTTTATTAATCTGTTTTCTCCTTTCAGATTTCTGACAGACAAAAGTGTTACTTTTACTTATGCAGACGATGCATTCCGAATGTACTTATTGGGAAAACGTTACCGCATTAGCCCACTAGTGAAAATATGGTTTTATTATCTCGTCGGAATGATTTATTCTCACTCTCACCACGTTTATCGTATTCATAGTTTGGCCGTCAGACACCACGAAAAACAGTTGCAATATTATTGTTTCAAACGATTGAATAGCAGTGACGAAAGTATATCACGTTCCGACGATTTCAAATCGTGCGAAGAAACTAATATTTACGAGTTATTGACGTGTCCGGCCTACGTCAAGGTGGAGAAACATCATCAGTTGCTCCGACTTCGCAACCGGGTGAAAGAAACATTCGCTATTGAACCGGAACACCTAAAAGACATCCCGAAAAACATCAATAATGATTTTCGATCGGCAAGACAATTTCCCGCTGGTAAAAATGTGGCCCAATTACTGGCAGCAATTTCTGCTAACGTTAAACAGCGAAAACGTTCCAATTATTTTCTGTTACTCGCCTTAACTCTGGCGAGAAAAGGAATATTGTCAGAAAATAAAAAGACGGAAGACAACTTGCTGTTTATGGCCGATATCTGGGTACCGGAAGACTACATTGTAGACTCAATTAAATTGCCAATCATCCATCGTAGATCCGGAGGAATTAAGGTTTTGGTCGGTGTTAAGAATAGTTATTCGCGGTGTTTCGTGTACAAAAGAGGTATCTGCGACCCGAACGGAGTCGTACCGTTAGAAAAACTGAAATTGTTGCCAAAGCGAAGCTTTCATATATTTTCGGTTAAAGTTCCGAAAGAGGAAATCGATTCGACTAAAATTAAGGTTCTAAACAAAAGGAATTACGTTCCAATATACGATTTCCGAGACGAAAGTACGAGAGGTGAAGACGAAAAGACGAAATTTATCTGTGATATTAACGTTATTTAAAATTTAATAAAGGCTTTATTATAAGACGAGTCGGTGTTTTTAACAGAAAAATCCTTCGATTGTGAAAGGTTTTTAATTCGAACGATGCGTATGAATTTTACAAAATTACGAAAAATTTCTATTCATTTAATTAATAATAAATAATAATCCCATCTTTACCGCGAATAGAAATGATTTTACCTGGTGTATCGTTGTTCGTGTTAATAAATAAATAAATAAATACAAATATAATTTATCGTTTGACAATAAATGTTAACGCTAATGTTCGGTTACTATTCCGTATTCGGCTGAATACCTAATAACAGGAGTAAGAAATAACAAAAATACAGTAAATTAATCAATTTGTTATTTAAATTTAATGTTGTCGGGTTAGTGTTGTTGTATATATTATTTATTTATAACTTATAACACGCACAAAATAAAAAAGAAAATAATATTAGTCACATGTATTCACAATTTATAATCACAAAGATTAGCACACGTACACACTTTATTCGTTCGAGAATCGGCGTACATATCTGAGGGTCTAACCCTGCCTATCCTTTTTAAGCGCTTGTCTTTGCTCTTTCCTTTCTCTTTCCTCCATCTCTCTAGTCCACGTATGCCTATGCATGCATCATAATACGCGCTCACGATACTTTCGATTCGTCACTTTTCCGTCGTAGATTTCCCATTTTACAATTACGTGAGTCATAGCTGGTGATAACGGAGAAAAGAGACAGACAGGACGTCGGCATAAGTCACATTTATCATTTCACAGATTCGAAACAGCTTGGTAGCCAGAACGACCTCAGGCTTTTGCCTGTGCATGCTAAGTGACTATTACAAGAATTTAGCTTTCCGAAGTCTATGACAACAATTGTTTGGCATTGACGGCCGCAAATTTCGCGCCAATAAGCTGCTTCGACTTGTTCGATTATGTTATCTACTCAATTTCATATTTATTTTTATATTTTCACTTTGCGGTCCTTCTCTGTTCTTCTTCCGTTATTTACACGTGTAGGTCATTTCATTGTTATCCACATTTGATATCATCATTTATCACATACTTCCATGACACTGTTTTCTGTCCGCTACGACTGTCAAGAATCAATGCGATTGGCGAAACGTAGTGACACCGGGCAAAAAGAGAGCGGGGTCCTTGCCATAATGCGGTTTGCGTGCCAATTTTCGTACGTGCATTAATCGAGCCGAATAGTTTCACCGAATATTCGGCTATTCGGCCACGCTCCTGGCCGAATATTCGGTATTCGGCCTCAGGCCGAATATACTATTTGTTGCAACACTGGTTATTAGTTTAGTAATTCATTGTTAGTCATGATTGAAGAATTATTCAACTAGTACACAATTGAATTCAGAGACTAATGGTTTGGAAATTGAGTGTTGTGAAGCTAAGGAGGGTTTATTCCTGGTGAAGTTGGTTGACTCGCCTTATGGCTGTCTCGATGACAACATTGAACAGAATAGGATTCAATGGGCACGCCGATGAGGAATGAAATAGGGATTGTGTTCCTTGTAGTAAACTTTACTCGAGTGGTGCAGTTGTTAATTAAGAAGACGACAAATGGTGTCGATATTGATGCTGCCCAGACCCCTCCATTTGGAACACTTCAAATGTTGATGGTGTTATGTGGAACAGAGCAGCCGAAAGCATTGGCAACGTCCAGCAAGCGATTTGGCAAGACTTGTGGCTCCGTCTAACATCGTGGATGATGGACTGCAACATGAATTTGTAGTCCATGCACCCTTTAAAATGGAGAAGTCCCTTTAAGGCTAATGCACCAGATGGTAGACGGTATTTGACCATGCAGTCTGCAAGGCAGGCCGTGAAGACCTAATCTGTAGTGTTTGAAAGCGCAATCGGCCTCCAGTTGTTGATGTCGTTACAATCGCCTTTCTTGAAAAGCATCACAGTTTGGGATTCTTGCCAGGAACAGGGATGTGTTCAATGCGCTGACAGGTGTTAACAACTGCGAAGAAGATTGGGCCATAAAATCCAGATGCCGCCGATGGAGATACCGTATGCAGTCCAGGCAAGAGGTGGTGGTGTGACAACGCGAAAGAGGAACGACGACCTCGACAGGGATGATGGAGGCGTCGAATGGGTCGTTGTCAGTGGCAGCCAGGTGGACTGCAATCAGGCAGTTGAGTGGTCACAGGAGCAGCAGATGCGTAGATCTTGCTGATGTGGTCCTAGATGATTTTCTTGTCAATTTGGCACTATTAGTTATGTCCGCTGGTGATATTGTAGTGAGGTTTGTTTATTTAAGGATTGATACTCTTAACTGCAAGAAGTGAAAAAGTCAAGGAGGTGAGGAGATAAGAAAAAGTCGTTTGTCTCCAGTAGTGTCGGACTTCACGACGGTTTATTTGTTATTAGCATTTATAATTTTTTTTTCCTTCCCTTTCTTCTGTTCAAGGTTCCCTTTTTTGTTTTTTTTTATCGGTTTAAAGGGTTTTTTTTTTTACCCCTTTTTTTACCCCTTTGCATTCTTAATTTTTGCCGGGAAGTTTGGGCACTTGTTTTTTGTTTTTTTACGTTGTTTTTTTGGCTTGTTTGGGGTTATTTTGGTTTTTTTTGTTTTTTTTTTTTTTTGCTTTTGTGGGCTTTTTTTTTCTTGTTTTCCGGTTAAAAACTTAAAAAAGAGACTGTTTTGGGGTCGGGAACAGATTAATCCGTTTTATATTGTTTGGAAAAATTTGAATTTGTTTGAGAACCAGTCGGTTTTTGAATGCCATTTAGAAACGAATTAACGTTTCACTACGTTTGAAACAAGTTTCTTTTTATTTTCCTTCATATTTTGTTTATCAAATATTTATAATTTGTTTTCTTTCGACTCGATATCTCGGAAAGTATTTATATTGTTGTGTCTTCCATTTACACAATGAACATTATTTCATTTAACAATACAATGTTAATAATTACTTTTTGACAATAATCACAACATTTGTCGTACTTTTTTAAACCAGAAATTGTCACTACTCGAGCGAATGGTAAGTGTCATTACTGAAATTATTTGAACTTGAAAACACCTTTCGTATTCCTGAATTTCGTGTCTTTCAATAATGGAAAATACAAAATTTTACAACAATTGTTAAACTTAAACAATTTCTATCGATCTGGATATTTTAACATAAAAATATAAATAAAACAAGTAATTATATCGATGTATTTCTTTACAAGGAGATAACTTCGAGTGACAAAAACGGCAGCATTAAATGCAAGTTGTGCCAAAATGAGTATTCAAACGAAGCGCAGTTCCTCGAACATCTGAAGGAGAATTTGAACTGCGAAAAGTTGACTTGTGACGTGTGTCGGAAACAGTTTAATTGGATCTGCAATTTGAAAACACACAATTTACTACATTCGAACGAAAAGAAATTTAAATGCGAGGAATGTGATTATTCCACCGGAGTTTTATCGAATTTTAAAAGACACAAAAATAAACACTCAAAAAAAGGACTTTATAAATGTAGCTATTGTGATTATTCGACTGCATGGAAAAGCAATTTAGACAGACATATTTTGGTAAAACATTCGATAGAATAGAATTTCACTGAAAAAGTAAGTATTTATTGGGAAATTTTTGGAGGAAATTCAATCTACATTCGACAAACAAATAACACTTAAAATGACTATCAAGAATTTTCAGTTGATGTCATTTTCTTATTCTAATTTATATTTTCAAGTGTTCGGATTACTCGTGTTTGTCAGAGATTTTCATTGTGTTTTCTTTAATTTAGAAGCAACAATTAAAAAAATCTGTTTCTTTGATTCTAATTCTTGTACTAATGTGTGTATTCCCAATGGCATATTAATAATGTTTTCGATATTATATAAGCCTTTAACATTTTATATAAAAATAGTAGTTTTTATTGTTGTATACTGGCACAATGAACACTTGGCAAGTTTTCCATCTTTATTTATTTTGTCTAACTAAATAAAGATGGAAAACTTGCCAAGTGTTGGTTAAAAGGTTACTTCATTGTGCCAGTATACAACAGTATATAAATAACAACACGGTTTCGACAGCAACGCATTTGAACTTTCCTAATGTTTCTCGGAGGAAACACGACACTAATTATAGTAAAAAAATAATTATTTAGTGTTATTAAACATCATATAAATACTTTTAAACAGTTTAATTTGTTTATTTACCTTTCCTGGTAATCCTCCGTGCAAAATGCTTCCGCCATTTTTTTCAACTTATTTCCCGTAAGTCAATGCGCGATGTTTACTGAGTCACGTGATGTTATGAACGGCTACCTCAACGATTTTTACTTGGACTTGAAAAGTGTAACGTATACTTCTGCTACCCGTACACGTTTAACGTTTGAACTCGTTCCTCAACCTCTCTATTATATAAGCCTTTAACATTTTATATAAAAATAGTAGTTTTTATATTATAATTTTGGCTTAGGTCTCGCCCAGATATCTGAATTTGGAAAAATATCGATGCAAATTTTGCTCGAAACTTTGTTCAACTCCATCCGCTTTAAAACTTCACCAGAGAAGTCACACGAGAGAAAAACCGTTTCAGTGTGATTATTGTTTTCGAAGATTTACACGACAAGATAAATTAAACAAACACAAGCGAATAATTCATTCGACAGTAGAAAAACAATTTCCGTCTCAGGTAAATAAAAGTAGTCTATATTTAAATAATATCCTAGTTTAAAATAAGCAACAAGTTAAAAAGATGTTATAATTTTCTATAGTAACATGTACAGTACCTGTACTAGCTCTACGTATAGAGAATCTTCTAATTGTAAATGTGTTGATTTCGTAACGGTCTCTGTGAAGTATTTTCTGTTATAATAACATTGAATACTTATGATATAAATATAGTTTTTAACAATATGCAGTTGATTGGTATGATTCACACTTATTTACAAATGTTTTTACAGTATTAAAGATTCTTAAAGCGATTTAATTATTTTTCGTCCAATTATTTTTGTGATATTTTCAATTTTTTTTCTTTTGTAACGCGGGGGCTGTCTCTGCTCAGTCTCTCGCCTTCTACTTGTCTTTACTGCTGAGAAAGTGCAGCACACCTGTTTCTTTTTCTGAGTAGTGGACACTACGCAGAAAAAGAGACAGGTGTGCTGTATACCAAAGAATACCAAAGAAGCTGTGTGTAAAAAAATTCATATAAATATACAGTACATGCAACTCGTATGAAAATGCTCGACAGGATCCACAACTTCAAAGAAACGAAAGATTAATTAAGTTACAAAATAACCTCGAGCGTTTTTACTGTAATATCGTTTATCATTAACGTTATTTCTATGTATACAGGTATATAATAAACACAAGATAGCGTAGGAAGCAAAACCGATATACCGAATTATATGATGTGCATATAGTAGGCCTACTATACTGTGTAAAAAAATAAATTGACTCTTAATTTCAAAAAAAATAGTAACTTTTTTAACAATAAAACAATTAAAACTAAGTGCAACAATTAATATTTTTTAGCTTATTTCAGAAAATTAAATGCCGGCTACCTAGATAACAAGTAACTGCGTTAGTTACTACTTAAATTTAGATAAATACACAAAAAGACGCCCCAAATCTTCAGTGTCGCTAATGGGGTCTGAAGGTACTGCGATACCTGGGACAAGGGTGTATAACACATCGGGGCCAAGCGATTCCTGAGAGTTCGGTCGTGGGTTCGCGCCTCGTCCAAACAGCCTGGCCATGTGGAAATTTCCGGGTTTTCTCTACGTCCGTAACGCCCGAATAGAAGCCAGTTACTCTTAAAAGATTTCCCGGAAGGCATCCACCTAGCCAAGTGTCTCATTGCCGTAATATAACAAAATAAACAATCACAGGAAATCGTTGGAAAAGAGGTGAACAATATCTTTAGATTGAAACTTTTTTCTTGTATTCAAATTTTACAAATGTCGGTGCCATCAAGAGTATACGAATTGTAGCTCATTTTAAACATCGTTGATGGTCAAAGTTGATTCAGACACAAAAGTATTTCATAATGTTTAAGTAAATTATGTTTTAAGTAAAGATTTTCATCGACATTCTATCATCGTTATGGTAGTTCTGCTATTACTTCTGAATTAAATGTAGAAAGCATCATAGAATAATATAAAAGGAATTGCGTAATTAACGATATTTTTCAATTGTTTAGCAAATTACAGGAGAAAGTACATCAAAACCTTTCAAAATCTCGGAACTGAGTGAGATGCACTCTTCTGCCGAAATCTCAGCATCGAGTTCGGTACAAGAAGAACCAGAAAGATAAACCAGAAAGATAAACCTCTTAAAGATAAACCTTCTTAAAAGAAACCAGAATATAAACCATTGCAATTTTCTGAAAAAATATGGCAATGTCATCAATCTCGCTTTACGACACACTCCGAGAAAGAATGGTTCCTACATAAACAGACACACGTTGACGAAGCTCCTTGCACGTCAAAGGTATTTAATTGTTGTATTCTGTTTAAAAGTTTTAGTACTTTGTAAATAAGCATTCAGTTTAAGTTAGCAAAAGACACCAGCACACCAGCCCTTCTATACTATAATTTACTAGTGCACCAGGGCTGGTGAGCGAGTAAATTATAGTACAGGAAAGTTAATTTTTAGTTTATAAAATCGAATTTCTCGCAGTTTTATGAATAAAACACATTGTAATAAGTAATAGTAAGATTGTTGATGTAAATATAGTTCAAATCACACAGACAACAACTACAGGAAGTTTTGGAGGAAACAGTCATTGTCATAATAAATAGGATAAATAAACATCGTCGCAGAAAAAGGCTTTGAGTTTCACTTTATGCCTTAATGTTGTTGCCCTACATTCATGTCGTTGAAGGTTATAACGCGTTTGAACAGTGTCAGCGAAGAAAATTTGAGACACGAAGTAAAGCTGGAAGCTTATTTCTCTGACGATGTTCATTTTTCCGATTTATTATCATGATGACAGTTACTGTAAAATTTCTTATAGTTGTAGTTTCTGTGTAGTATGAACTTTATTTACATGTTGAGTTTTACCGTCAATTCTGCCTCCACTATTCTTATGCAAGAACTTTAAAAAAGTTTCCTTTATTATGATATTTCTGTCGAATTCTACGCATTCAACCTGGTTTCAGCAGTTTTTTAAATAAGATTTCAAGTATTTTTTAGTTACAAATAACTTTATACGAAAATAGTTTTTAGAATGACTTATGAGACATTCATAACTGGTGATATATTTATGTGATAGTCACGCGTAGTGTGCAGATTTTTTTGTGTCCCTGGAAATAAGTGTGAAAAATCTGATGCAGATCGAGCAAATACATTAAAAGTTAATAGTTTTAAATCAGTTGTATGCAGGTTTCGGTGGTAGTCTATATTTAGTCCGGACTCCCAGAGAATAAGTATGAAAACTTTAATGTAGTCGAGTAAAAAATTTAAGAATTCTCACTGTCTCAGAAAATATATATACAGTCGACCCCCCTATAAGACAGTAGATACGTTTCATTCTTTAGGAATCCGATTTCTTACGAGTCCTTCCAATCTCAGCCCGATACGTATCAAGTTTACGGACTACGGCTGTTTGAAAGGTTTTATTCCATAAAATTAATCGATTCTAGACTAATCCGNAAATTGCAATTTTCTGAAAAAATATGGCAATGTCATCAATCTCGCTTTACGACACACTCCGAGAAAGAATGGTTCCTACATAAACAGACACACGTTGACGAAGCTCCTTGCACGTCAAAGGTATTTAATTGTTGTATTCTGTTTAAAAGTTTTAGTACTTTGTAAATAAGCATTCAGTTTAAGTTAGCAAAAGACACCAGCACACCAGCCCTTCTATACTATAATTTACTAGTGCACCAGGGCTGGTGAGCGAGTAAATTATAGTACAGGAAAGTTAATTTTTAGTTTATAAAATCGAATTTCTCGCAGTTTTATGAATAAAACACATTGTAATAAGTAATAGTAAGATTGTTGATGTAAATATAGTTCAAATCACACAGACAACAACTACAGGAAGTTTTGGAGGAAACAGTCATTGTCATAATAAATAGGATAAATAAACATCGTCGCAGAAAAAGGCTTTGAGTTTCACTTTATGCCTTAATGTTGTTGCCCTACATTCATGTCGTTGAACGTTATAACGCGTTTGAACAGTGTCAGCGAAGAAAATTTGAGACACGAAGTAAAGCTGGAAGCTTATTTCTCTGACGATGTTCATTTTTCCGATTCATTATCATGATGACAGTTACTGTAAAATTTCTTATAGTTGTAGTTTCTGTGTAGTATGAACTTTATTTACATGTTGAGTTTTACCGTCAATTCTGCCTCCACTATTCTTATGCAAGAACTTTAAAAAAGTTTCCTTTATTATGATATTTCTGTCGAATTCTACGCATTCAACCTGGTTTCAGCAGTTTTTTAAATAAGATTTCAAGTATTTTTTAGTTACAAATAACTTTATACGAAAATAGTTTTTAGAATGACTTATGAGACATTCATAACTGGTGATATATTTATGTGATAGTCACGCGTAGTGTGCAGATTTTTTTGTGTCCCTGGAAATAAGTGTGAAAAATCTGATGCAGATCGAGCAAATACATTAAAAGTTAATAGTTTTAAATCAGTTGTATGCAGGTTTCGGTGGTAGTCTATATTTAGTCCGGACTCCCAGAGAATAAGTATGAAAACTTTAATGTAGTCGAGTAAAAAATTTAAGAATTCTCACTGTCTCAGAAAATATATATAATATAAAATTTAATAAAAAAATTTAAAAACATTCTGTCATTTATATACAGTACTAGACAAAAAAACTCAAAACAAATATTTGAAAGAACTCGAAGGATCAAATTTGACACGATTCCAATATTATCCCTTGTTATGTATAAGCACATAAGAACTACAAAAGTAAAAATGGGACATTATTTTATAAATATTCTATTCTCAAATCATTAGACTTGTATTAATACATTAAATGTAATCGCAAAACATTACGTCAAGCGGTAGACGATCGACAAATTAAATGTTTATATTTTAAAAATAGGCTATAATTTTATAAATACCCATTATTTTTAAATAAAACCTTCAAAAAGACTACAAAAGAAGTGGTCAGATCTAGAAACAGCTTTTAAGCATTCACAGACTCCTTCTAGATTTTTGGTAGCTTGTGTGACCAAAATCTCTCTGGTTGTAAATCTAGTGGAAAAAATGCTAGATTTGTAATTGCCTAGATGAAGAACAATTCAACGACCTTATTGAAAACTTAAGATAATCGCAGTTTTCACCCCGCACACTAAATATTTTAATTTTTATCCAGATCGATTCGTTGGTCTAGAATAGGGGTCGGCAGTTTGTCAAGTGAGAAGAGCCAAATTGTCATGGAAACAGTATAACAAAAGTATCAGAGAGCCGCATATATAACGCGCGCCAGGGAGACGCTCCCCAGTGCGCGTTACAGGCATTCCGTGATAATAATAAATTCCTACTACAAATATACTAAATTATTTATATTGTTATTGGCTATTGGCCAAATGAATAATAATAATTTATACTGTTAATTTAAATGTACGAAATATGACACACGACAGGGGCGCCTCTAGTGGCCGATTTTGGCATAACGTTACACGGACAGACACGCGTTCAATGGGTTATGTATATATAGATATGCTTCAAATGCTGCCACTCAACTACACCGATACCTGGTCTACCATTCTTCGTGGAAAAGGTCGCGACCATCTCCGACCTTTCGTACCTTGGATACACCATCACGCCTCGTCTCGCCACATAGAAACCCTATTGGCTAGACTTCGAACTGATACGGCCCCCTTGAACAATTTCCTCTATTCTCGACGCCAATGCGCCCTCCCACTGTGGCTCTCCAGAAACTTCCGTCCACTATTGGCTAGTCTGTCCGCAATACACACGGGCCCGCCAAGAGGTAGGCCGTCTCTTAACCTTGGACGTTACGATCGTCCGAACCTTAACTCCGATATACTGGCCTCATACCGACCTTCTTTCTCGCCAATATCGAAATCTTGGAGCGTTTTGTTCACCGCACCAACCGCTTTACCTAATTTCTAAGCGGAGTGGTTCAGAGAAAAAGCCAACAGGTTAGAGTCTCCATATTAATAAGATAAGAAAGAAAGAAAGAAAGAATGCTGCCACTCGCATGCGACTCATATTGATCAACGTGAGTGTGGTCATGTGCGAACGGGCTAGAGTGGCAGAGAGTATGCCGTACGAGTCGAAGTTTGTTCGGTGGCTCTATCTCATAAATTCATAAGTTATAAGAACCGCAAACGTCTATGCAAAGTCCCGCATGCGGCAAGCGAGCTGCTAATTCCGACCCCTGGTCTAGAAGATATTAATGGTCAAATTTGGCACTTTAACATTAGAAGGGTGGCTGAGCTCTACTATACCGAGGTTATAAATATTACACAATCGGATGAGAATTCATTAACGAAGATACCATTTACTGTTAACTACAAATTAGATTTGTGACCGAAGAAGTGTTGAGTTCCCATTTGTAAATGATAAATTGAATTCTGTTTACATTTCAAAAGTGACATTTATTCGAAAGAAATGTTTTCATTTATTTTCGTATAAAAATTTACTTCAAATAATAATTTATATATTCATTGTTGCAGGAACAGAAAGAAACAGATCCAGAAGTGGTGAAAGCATCCGAAATCCTCATGGACATGAGAAAGAAAAGATTGGAGATGATAAAAGATAAAAAGTCCTAATCCCGATACACCGCCAAGTTCACAATAACACGCGAATATTCAATATTGATGTTATCTAATCCATTTTTTTTTTCAAAAATTGCAAGAAGAGATTTTCAAACTGGAACACTTTCATGCGAAATTCATACGATTGGCTTCTAAATTCTAATTTTTGAAGAATAAAACTAGTTTCGTGACAAGGTGTTTATTGTCTTATATTTGTAATTGTTAATAATTGAATAACACACGTATTAAACAATTAATTACTTTCTCGCTCTTATATACAGAACAGAAGAAAAGTTTGGCGATAGGTCAAAAATTAATCCTAGGATTTATACATTTTTGGACTCAAAACATGTTGCAACGTCGAGAAATGCAAAGAAATTTCTGAGTAATTTGTGTATGAATAGATGTTATTGCGTATGTGCGTTTGTGGCACTATTTTGTTCATCCTGTTTGAAACTTAATAACTCGTGTGCTTTTTGTCGAAAATTTCTAAAAGTTTTCAGGGTAATTTATATATTAGCGGGATTAATGCTGTTAAATTTTGTTGGTTAAAGAACTAGGAATGGAATAATGAACGGGATTTCTGTCATATCTCGAGAAGGGACGGACTCGATGACTATTTTTCTCGTTATAAAAATAGACAACCTTTTTGTAAAATCCATCTGTACCATCGAAAATTTCTGGGCAAAAAGAAAACCATTTTTTCATGGAAATTGGCTGAAAGAACTTAGACAGTCAATAGAAAGGCGAGATGAAAAAGAGAAGATATCAAGAGGAATTAACGCGATAACTTCGAGAGAAGAGGGAAGCAAAGTATGCAATTGCAGAGGAAAAGATAGAAGAAATTTTTAAGAAAAAAAGACCAGCAGTTTTAGAAGAAAAACCTCTTGAAGATGAAGATCAGTTAGATGCTTTTTTGTAGAATTAACACCCGAAATATATGTGGAAGTTGGTGATGCTTAAAGGCCAAATCCTCTGGCTGAAGTATTAACTGAAGGATTTCGTCTCTCCGTTGCACGTAGAGATACAAAGACACTTGCGGGACTTAATTAGCTTAATGATGCAATAAATCATTTCTACATGAATTTGCTAATAAAAATAAGCAGATTGGATAATTTTCCTAACGTATATGTCTTTAATACATTCTTTTATATTAAATTGTTAAACAGTGGTCACAGTGCATTGAAAAGAACAACGAGAAACGTTGACATTTTTGAATATGACACGCCGCTTATTCCCGTTCACACGGGAATGCACCGGTGTTTAGCTGTTATTGACTACCGACATAAAAAATATTCAGTGTTATGATTCTATGGGTGGGCGAAATGACGGGTGTTTAAATGCGCTAAGAACGTATTTACAAGATGAGAGAATAAATAAAAAGAAAGAAGAATTCGATATGAGTATATCGTCACTAGAAACAGTAAAAAAACATACCCCATGAAATGAATGGAAGCAATTATGGAATGTTTGCATTGAAATATGCAGAGTATATAACGAGAGATGCAAGAATTAATTTCACACAGGATTATATGCCTTATTTTTACAGGCAAATGGCTAACAAAATTTTAAAGTAACAGTTATTGTGAAGAACGTCAAATCTTCGACGGTCCGTACGTGAAATTATTATTTTGCCGCTCGTAAAATAAAAATATAATTCCACCTCCACGAGGTTCCAGCTTTTTATATTTACATAATCATTGCTTAGGAGAATTTTACTAGTATGATGCGAAGTTATCATTATGTGCGAATGAACGTACGAGAATTCATTTACATTGTAAAAATATAATTTAACTTAAATGCCATTCATACAAGAAATGTCATAAAAGTTGCATGAAAAAAACTGATAAATTCGTAACTGTAATTATAGTAAATCTTCATTTCCTTAACTTTTCTTTTTAATTTCCTGGCATAGAATTATGAAAGGTAACTTAGATGGATATAATGATTTAACTGAACGAAATTTAGTAATTTTTAAATGAAACATCATAAATTAAATTGTTATTTTCTTCATTTTGAAATGTCTATTATTGTACATATGTATTACAATATCAAATAAGTTTATGTATGAAAAATTCTAAATTCCGTTTCTTATACGGAATATTTATTTTGTCGCATAAATTGTTTAAGCGCTTCTTCTTATAGATATTATGAAAACCTAAAGCCCGGAGTATTAATAATATAAAAGCCGTCGTGTGTGTGAATTTTTTGTAACTCCTGCAGTTTTTGTCCAATTCAAATGAAATTTTGGTTTTATTCGTTCTATATTCTAACGGAAAGTATACACTACTTATTTTATAAAAATATTAGCTCTAAATTAAACTTTTTTTATTTTTCTGAAACCGTGTCCTCTTCTCTAATTCTGGCTTAGTAAACACTAGACTAGTATTGTGTTATATTCCAAAGACCCGTGGCAAATTTTTTCATCAAATAAATATCTTTATTACTGTAGTTGAGTCGATACGGTACATTGTTTTGTACTCGTTTCTTCAATCAACTATAATACAATATATATTTTTTATCTATTACAGTAGAGAGTTTACATAAAAAACAATGAGAACACAAACGATATATAGACTTACCTTTTGGTTACACTTTGTATAATTTAAAATCTTGTAAAATTTGCTTTAATTCTTTGTGGATAAACCAGTATACGTTACAAATTAAAAAGGGGGTAAATACTTCCAAAATCTTTCTTTTTACATAGGCTTTGATACGATACGACTGTAAAANAATAAATATCTTTATTACTGTAGTTGAGTCGATACGGTACATTGTTTTGTACTCGTTTCTTCAATCAACTATAATACAATATATATTTTTTATCTATTACAGTAGAGAGTTTACATAAAAAACAATGAGTACACAAACGATATATAGACTTACCTTTTGGTTACACTTTGTATAATTTAAAATCTTGTAGAATCTGCTTTAATTCCTTGTGGATAAACCAGTATACGTTACAAATTAAAAAGGGGAAAAATACTTCCAAAATCTTTCCTTTTACATAGACTTTGATACGATACGACTGTAAAAAATTGAGCCGTTTCAGCCCCCTTTTCCCTTCCACCCCCTTTTTGTCGTTTGCGCTGGTATTTCTAGTGTTGCCACGTATGACGTTCGCTACCTTGTAATCGAATTTTTGCCAAAATCCGTCTTGGGAAAATTATTTTTAGGAGAGATTGCTTTATTTATAATATATTGAGCCAGTGTTTATTTATACTGTCTACTTTTCATGATTTCTGTGGTTTTTTTTAAACTTCCTGTTGTATGTTAATTTTTCTTTATGAACTATTTCTACGTTATCTTTGTCTATATTCGCATACTCTCGCGGACTCTCGACCACCTCTCTGTTTCTCGAGTTCTCCTCTTTCTATTTCTAAGTCACGTTGTCTTTTTGTTCCAATAGTGAATTTTTAGTTGTAGTTTCCATTGACACATTCCGAGTTCCTTGGAAATTGAAACGATTCCAGAAAGAGAAATGCACTCATCCTCCGCTAATAAAATAAAAAAAGGTTTTTTATCTAAGACTTAAATAAATTTCCTTTTCAAAAAGATAGATGAATTTTCTTTAAATTTTTTTTCTTTTCAAGTCTGTCCTCATGGCATCCTATTTTAAACTTACTTCGTGAAACAAAAAATATAAACTTAAAAATTAGCCTCGTCGCTTAATTTTTATAACAACTTTATAAAAAATTTTCCATAGTAACTATGCGACGTTCTATTATTTAATTGAAAGTAATGATTTAATGAGTGTTTAGAAAGTGATTTAGAATGTGTTATCATTGTGCATACAATTTATCTTTGTTTTATGAACGTGAAATTAAGAAATGGCCTTGTCAAGGTCTGCAAAATCCGCATTACAACGTCAATCATAAAAACAATATTAAAATGTGTATTACTAAAGAAAGACAGCACGAAAATCACAATAGAGTATTTATTCAGAATATAAAGAAATTGTAATATTTTAATGTAAAGGCGTTACTCCTATTGTTTCTGTTCACTTTAGGTGAAATTTAATTTTATTGCTCTTTTATTGCTCAAGGCCCACAAATAGCATAAACTGCTTAATTTTTAGAGATATTTACGACTCCCATTCCACATTTTTAATTGAACGCACTATTGCAAAATTGACGTATATTAACTTCATACTGACACATGAATAAATGGATCAGGCAAGATCAATACGATAATATTCAAATTGTTATAATTTAAACACTAATGACGTGAAGAAATTATTCTTAAAGAAGAAAAAGTATTTTAATGTGCAATAAATTTTCAATGAAAATAAGATTTATACGGTATTTTGTAGAATTATTTTCGTTTACGGAGCTTTGTCAAAATATTGCAGAAATCATTAGGTTTAATTAGTCTTAAATGTCGAATTTAGAAAAATCACTGGTTGAAATTTTTAAAAATTGTATAGAATATGAATCAATATTTAACATTCGTAGATTATTGTAATGTTGGCGGAGTATCGGAATCAGGCGATTCCTTTTGTTTCTTTATCATCTCCAATCTTTTCTTTCTCATGTCGACGAGAATTTCGGATGCTCTAATTACTTCTAAATCAGTTTCGTCCCGTTCCTATAATCAATATATAAATTATTATTATTTGAATTAAATTTTTATACAAAAGAAAATTAAAACATTTCTTTCGAATAAATGTCAATTTTGAAATATAAACAGAATTCAATTTATCATTCACAAGTGGTAACTCAACACTTGTTTAGTCACAAATCTAATTTGTAGTTAACAGTAAATGGGTATCATCGTTAATGAATTCTCATCCGATTGTGTAATATTTATTAATATAACATCGGTATAATTGAGGTCAGCCACACTTCTAATGTTAAACTGCCAAATTTGACCATTAATATCTCCGAGACCAACGAACCGATTTGGATAAAATTTAACATATTTGGTGTTCGCGGTAAGAACGACGATTATCTTAAGTTTTGAATAAGTTCGTTGGATCGTTATGGATCTAGTCAATCGCAAATTTAGCATTTTTTCCACTAGATTTACGACGAGAGAGATTTTTGTCGCACCAAGCTACCAGAGAATCTAGAAAGAGTCTGAGTTCTTTCGTGATCTGTCCACTTCTTTTGTAGTCTTTTTGAAGGTTTTATTTAAAAATAATGGGTATTTATAAAATTATACCTATTTCTTAAATATTAACATTTCACTTGCGTTCGTTTTGCGATTACTTTTAAACTATGAATACAAGTGTGAGATCAGCCGGGGGTACACAAATTCGTTAGTAGCACTTAATCGGCCTATTCCGTGAGAATAGTTCTCCGAGTTTCGAATAGTAAGATCCGATCGTAAAAAGCTTACATAGGAGAGCGTATTTTAAAATGATCTGAAAGAGAAGTTCAGATGTTCGTCAGGATTCCTTGACATCAGTTAATCAAACTTATTATACGCGGATTAACACGCGTTTACGATCTGATTCGGAATAAATTGAGGAAACATTCTTATAAAATAAAACAAGAGTAAATTTAATAAATCTCAAACAAACGAATACAAAAATGTCGATTACAACCATTTAGCGACAAGTTAGAGGTTACGACTTAATCTATGCTAATGCGCGTTCGAGAGAGAGAGCTCACAAAATGATTCTAAACATACGACCTGTTTAGTTGTCGTCGTCTCCGTTTCTGTAGATATAGGACACCTTGTAGATAGAGTTCATATTACTTTCGTATGGGAGATCAATTCGTGCACAAAATATAAAAATATCACTTCTACGTGTAGACTCGGGACTTAGTCTCTCGGACTCCGTTTATGGGCGTGGCCATCAGGAGGAAAACTGCGTGGAGTTTAGATGCTTCGGATCTGTCGAAGAACTCTTCGAATTCTGACTAATCTCCCCTTTTATTTCAAAATTTCGTCCAATCATCGTCCAGTAACTCTTTCGTGAGAACGGATGAAAGGGGGATGAATGAGGGGTAACCATTTCCCATCTGAGCGAGATTTTTAACCAGACACGGAAAAACAGCGGATGTTCTCTTCTGTGGAAGGAAGTAACATCTGTTATCTGGTTTTACCCACGTCTAAAACACTAGTTTTTCACACAAAATGAAATAATATTCTGTGTCGATAATTTAATATTATCGATAAAAATTCATAAAATAGACCCAGGGCCTTTCGGATCTCACACAAGTGTAATGATTTGAAAATAAAATATTTTTGAAATAATGTCTCATTTTTACTTCTGTAGTTTTTATGTGCCTATACATAACAAGAGACAGTATGAAAATCGTGTCAAATTTGATCCTGCGAGTTTTTTCAAATATACGTTTTGAGATTTTTTCTCTAGAACTGTATATAAATGACAGAATGTTTTTAAGTTTTTTTTATATTTTATATTATATATATTTTCTGAGACAGAGGAAAATATAGACTACACGAGAATCTGTATACTCCTTATTTAACTTTTAAAGCCTTTGCTCTATCTGAGCCAGAGTTTTTACACATTTCCTTGAGACACAGACGAATCTGCACACAACACGTGACTGTCACATGAATATATCACGAGTTATGAATGTCTCATAAAGTATCTTAAAAACTATTATCTTATAAAGTTATCTGTAACTGAAATATACTTGAAATCTGATTAAAAAAAAACTGCTGAAACCAGATTGAATACGTACAGCTCGACAGAAGCATCATAATAAAGGTGACTGTTTCCTCAAAACCTTGCTGTAGTTGCATTTCACTCTGTTCCGAGAGTTTAAAAGATTTTGAAGTGCTTTCGCCTGCAGTTTTCTAAACAATTGAAAAATATTGTTAATTATGCAATTCCTTNTTTTGTACAAACAAAATAAATATATTAAAAAATAAAAAAACGAAAGAAATTTATACTTTAGAAGTTATCTAGTATCAAAAACGTTCGATTCAGCATTACACAGTCCTCAGAAAAACATAACACAAAAGAGACAGTGCTGCCAGCTAAAACACATACACAAACATAAAAAATTTTGGAGTAAACCAAGATATATCTAAAGATTGCAGCCCCACAGCACTAGCGAAAATTTAAATTTGCTGACTGGAATTCTTTTGGATAACTGACGTTTCGGATAACAGAGTTTCGGATAAACGACGCTCTACTATATATTGACATCAACAATCTAACTCTCAAAGCTTTCACTATTCTTATCCCTTAATTTAACTGACGATTCTTAACTGGAACTTCCACTATTCTTATGCCAGAACATTTAAAAGTTTTGTTTACTTCTGCAGAGCTCTACTGTTTCAACCTGGTTTAACCACTTATTTATTACATATAGAAGAAGTATATTGCAATGTATTTTACTTATAAAATCGTGATAAAGTCGATTTTACTACGAAATTTACTTTCCTACGCTATTATTTACTCGCATACCAGCCCTGGTAGGCAAGTAAATTATAGTATAGAAGGGTTTGCATGCTGGTGTCTTTTCCTAACTTAAACTGAATGTTTATTTACAAAGTACTAAAACTTTTAAACAGAATACGACGATTAAATACCTTTGATGTGAGAGGGTCTTCATCGACGTGTGTCTGTTTATGTAGGAACCATTCTTTCTCGGAGTTTGTAGTAAAGATACATTGATGACATTGCCATAATCTTTCAGAAAATTGCAAACTCTTGTCTTTCTTGTTTGTTTCAAGATGTTCCTCTCGCATGGAACTCGCTGCTGAGATTTCAGCAGAAGAGAGCATTTCACTCTGTTCCGAGAGTTTAAAAGATTTTGAAGTGCTTTCGCCTGCAGTTTTCTAAACAATTGAAAAATATTGTTAATTATGCAATTCCTTTTGTACCATTCTATGATGCTTTTTACATTTAATTGAGAACTAATACCAGAACTACTATAACAATGATAGAATGTCGATTAAAATCTTTACTTAAACATTATTTCAACATTACGCAATAGTTTTGTTTGTAAATCATCTCGGATAATTAGCGATGTTTAAAATGAGCTACAATTTGTATACTCTTGATAGCACCGACATTTGTAAAATTTGAGTACAATAAAAAGCTTTCTATCTAAAGACACTGTTTACCTTCTTCCCAACCATTTCCCATGTTTATTTGTTTATTTTGTTAAGTTACGGCAGTGAAACACATGGCTAGGTAGATGTCTTCCTGGAAGTGTTTTAAGGATAAGTGGCTTCTATTCGGGCGTTACAGACGTAGAGAAAACCCGGAAATTTCCACGTGGCCAGTCCATTCGGCCGAGGCGCGAACCCAGGACCCAACTGCCAGGAATCGCTTGCCAATGGTGGACCCCGATGTGATAAGCATCCTTGTTTCATGTATAGCAGTACCTTCAGATCCCATTAGCGGGACTGAAGATTTGGGGCTTCTTTTGTGTATTTATTTAAACTTAAGTAGTAACTAACGCACTGACTTGTGATTTAGATGGCCGGGATTCAATTTTTGCGCTTAGTTTTAAGCACGGTATAGTACTACATGCGCATCAGAAAATTCGGTATATCAGTTTTGCTTCCTACGCTATTTTACGTTTACTATATTCCTGTGACGTTAATGATAAACGACGTTAGATTAAAAAAGCTCGTGTTTATTTTGTAACTTGATTAATTTTTTGTTCGTTTGAAGTTGTGGATCCTGTCGTGCATTTTCATACGGGTTGCATATACAGTACTGTATATTTATACGAATTTTTTTACACAGTTTCTTTGAAACGTATCGACTTCTCAAAAAAAGGGAAAGTGTACTTTCTCAGCAGTAATAATTAAATCGCTTCACGAATCTTTAATATTGTGAAAACGTTTGTAAATAAGTGCGAATCATACCAATCAACTCCATATTATTAAAAATTATATTTATGTCATAGATTTTCAATATTATTATAACAGAAAATACTTCACAAAGACGTTGTGAAATTAATACATTTACAATTAGAAGATTTTCTATACGTAGACCTTGTACATGTTACTATAAAAAATTATAACAACTTTTTAACTTACTGTTAATTTTAAACTAGGATATTGTACTTATTTAGATATATTTTTATTTACCTGAGACGGAAATTGTTTTTCTACTGTCGAATGAATTATTCGCTTGTGTTTGTTTAAGTTCTTTTGTCGTGTAAATCTTCGAAAACAATAATCACACTGAAACGGTTTTTTTCCCGTATGAATTCTCTCGTGATGTTTTAAAGCGAATGGAGATGGAAAATATTTCTGGCATAACTCGCATCGATATTTTTTCAAATCCAAAAATCTCTGCGGAAGCTAAGCCAAAATTATATTATAAAAACTACTATTTTTTTAAATAAAATACTAAAAAATTAAATAATATAGAAAAACGTTACTTATATATTTTTAGGTATACACACATTAGTACAATAAATAGAATCAAAGAAATAAAATTTTTTATTTGTTGCTCTTAAATTAAAGAAAACGCAATAAAAATGTCTAACAAACACGAATAATGTGAACAGTTAAAAATATAAATTATAATACGAAAATGACGTTAATTAAAAATTCTTGATAGTCATTCTAAGTGTTATTTGTTTGTACGAATGTAGATTGAATTTCCTTCAAAAATTTCCTAATAAACACTTACTTTTTCGCTGATATTCGATTGTTTCCAATGTTTTCGCAAAATATGTTTGTCTAAACTCTGTTTCCATATAGTTGAACGATTACAATAGCTACATTTATAAACTTCTTTTCTTGAGTGTTTATTTTGGTGTTTTCTAAAATCTGATTTAACTCCGGTAGAATAATCACATTCCTCGCATTTAAATTTCTTTTCGTTTGAATGTATTAACTTGTGTGTTTTCAAACTGTATATCCGAGTAAATTGTTTCCGACACATGTCACAAGTCAACCTTTTGCACCACGGATTTTCCTTCAGATGTTCGAGGAACTGCACTTCTTTCGAAAACTTACTTTTGCACACCTTACATTTAATACCGCCGTTTTCGTCACTCGAAGAAACCTCCTTATAAACAAATACATTAATATAATTACATATATTATTTATATTTCTATGTTAGAATATCCAGATCAATAGAAACTGTTTCGGTTTAACAATTGTTTTACAAATTTGTATTTTCCGCCATTGAAAGACACGTAATTTAAGAATACGAAAGGTCTTTTCAAGTTTAAATAATTTCGGTAATGACACTTACCATTCGCTCGAGTTGTGACAATTTCTGGTTTGAAAAAATACGACAAATTTTGCGATTATTGTTAAATTGTAATTATTAGCATTGCATTGTTTAATGAAATGATGTTCATTGTGTTAACGTAAGATACAATAAAACAAATGATTAAATATTTATATAAACAAAATATCAATAAAAATGAAAAGAAACTTGTTTCAAATGTAATGAAACTTTAATTCGTTACTAAAAGGCGTTCAAAAACCGACTTGTTATTAAACAAAAATAAATTTCTTCATAAAATACAATATGAAACGGATTAATCTGTTCCCGATTTTAAAAACAATTTTTTTTGCCGTTTTAGCTGTTTACCATGCATAAAAATGCCTAAAAATGCCCAAAAAATGCGACTATAAAAAATTGAACTATAAGAAAATTTCAGAAATTGAATCTACATTTTTTATTGTTTTTTTTATAAAACACAATAAAAAATGTACATTCAACACGCAATTAAACCAAATTTATTAACATTAGTACACATTTAATCATGAATTAAAATATGTACTTTAACAATATCGTAACACAATAAATTTTACAATTATCATAATTTATTGGTATAAGACAACTTTTAATTTTAGCTTTCTGTACGTTTTTACCTGTAATATGTTTAAAAGTAAATTCATTTCGCATTAAATATGCCAATCACTTCGTTACGAAGTATTTTAGCACTCATGTTAATAATTTTGATTTATTCGAACAAAAAAATCCTGTTAATTTGAGAAACTTCGTATTTTTCGAATCGGAAGAATTGTTTGGAAGGAAACTTTTAGTTCTTCAATGTTTCTTCTTGGCAAACGAACCTAGACGTTAATTCCATTCTTTAAATATACGTGACGAAACGAGAACTATCGCACTCTTCACGCGGTGAAGTACGTGGTAAGTAGGACTACGTCCGTAGTTTTGAGTAATTTTTCACGAAATGTGATGATTCTCACAGAAGAGGCCAACGCAGAAACAGATGAAGAATACATTTGCAAGCAGACAGGGATGACATAGAACAGTTTTCTTCAGCCGCGACGTTTCGAGAAGAAAATCAACGTAAATACAAATAGCAGTATTTCCAGTTCTTCCGGACTTTAATATTTTTAATAAACGAATGAATATTTATTGCAATGCGGCACCGTTTCTCTCGCTATTCGCAAAGACCCATAACATATACAAGAAGGTTTTTAATTGAACTAAAATATTTACGTAAACTTTGTGCATTAACTTTCGGCTAAGTACACATTATATGTTCTTAATATTAACCGAGAGCATTGTAAGACGGATGAAACGACATAAAATTTGAATTATCTCCATCGAAATACTAAATCTTTTTTTACCACCACTTAAAATATTTTGGATTTATTATATCATGCAATCAAATTCCATACTTAATTAAACTTATACTTTCGTGCAATCGATATTGATCGATAGAACAAAAGCACGTGGATCAATCATATAACAAGAGCACGTAAATCAATCAATCATATAAGCACTGTAGATCAATCATATAAGAAAGTTGTCATTGGTGTATTGAAGAGATCGGAATAAATAATGTATTTGCATTATATGTCAGTGTTTAAATGTCAATGTTAGTTCATTTTTTACTGACGCTCATTAAAATTTAAAAAGGCCAGCAAAGTGTAAAATATGAGGGGGTCACTTCTTTGCCGATCGCCATACTTTTCCTCTGTTATATATAATAGTCGAAAAATAATATTCCGATGCATTGAAAAATTTAATGGCAATTGTTTACTTATTACAGTGAAATTTTGGTTAAATTACAGTCACTAATGGATTCGAATGTATATGCCGGGTGTCCAGTTTGTCAGGTCGACTTTGTTCTTCGAGTGTCGAAAGTCTTCGCCACGAATATAATTATGGACTGCAGCTGCCAGAAAAACGAAAGAATACGAAAATTTCGTTTCTTCCCGAACAAAGCTTACGGGTGTTACGAAAACACGGTACAACTTTTCTTGTGGACTATAACAATTCGACAGTTTCTGGAAATCCCTTTTCAAAGGTGTAACGTGCAGTGAATGGGTATACGTATACGGAACCATAGTTTTATCAGACTGATATATTCAATTGTTTATCTGTCTTGTGCTGTTATTTTCGGCACATTTAAAAAAAAGAATACTGTACTTCAAATACAAGAGAAGCGATTACGAAGAAGAAACCTCTTTAAACAAATACTTCGAAGCACTTTCATTAATTTCACTTATTATATACCTTAATACCATGATTATTATATGTGTAGCATTTGATATATTCAGTTTTCCAATCACAAGTTGAATCGCAATAAATATTGTTTTCAATCGCTCCTGTAATATACTTTACAACGAAGAGCTTAACCTGTACTTATTCGAAAGCAAACTCAAGGTTGACATCGCTCGAAATATTAAATTAATTTTCAAAGCTTTTGTTTTCAGTTGTACAATATCTTCATAAAAATCAGATGATTTTCTTCCGTCCACATGAAAATTGAAAGCAAACTTGAGGTTGACACCGCTCAAAATACTTAAAAGGCGAATTTAATAATTAATTAATTGTAATCTATTTTGTTTAATAAACTCATTTGATTAGTTTCTAGATTTCATGAAGAGATTCGGAAAGATTTCGATCGGTATTTCTGTTGGAAGATTCTTCTTCATCAAGAAAAACTTTGCCATAAGAGTGAGTACTTTTCTCTGGTGTATTTCGTTAAACCCGAATTTAGTTTCTCACTGACCATGTGTGCGATGCGTTAGACACATATTAAGATTTTTTCCAGTATATAAATTGCAAGTATAAAAACTTATGTAAACATGATTTTTGCAATTTCAAAGTTCAGTTCTAACATCTGCATTTCACATTCTGTGTTCTTGTAATTATAAACACTGGCTCGAATAAAAGACTTTTTTATTTTACAGATGTTAAGTGGATTTTATTTTATTTTGTCAACGTTAGTGTAAGTAGGCTACGAGAAAAAAAGTGGATGCATCTCGACAGAAAACAACAAAACCAACACTTTCGGCGTTTTATCAGTTTTGGATGATTAAAAAAACTAATTTTTGTGTATCGATATTGAAATGTTGTGTGGATAATTAAAGGGTAAATAGAGACGAATGAAATTACGAAATGCATTAGAAGACCTTCCTGAAATAAGGCGTTAAGTTTTACTGTTTCGAAATTTCATGTTTTTGTACATTAAAAGTGCTAAGTTTGAAATCTTTGTTTGGGCATTACGATTTTTTGAATTTCTCTCCGTTTTCGGCTGAAGAAAAAGCACATCAAATGAATAAAAGCGATTGTGGAATGTTTCCATTCAAATATGCGGAGTATATAACAAGAGATGCAAGAATTAGTTTCACACAAAATTATATGCCTTATTCTCGCCGGCAAATGGCTAACGAAATTTTGAAGAAACAGTTATTGTGACGAACGTCAAATCTACGACGGTCCGTACATGAAATTATTATTTTGCTACTCGCAAAATAAAAATATAATTCCACCTCCACCAGGTTCCAGCTGTTTATATTTACATAATCACTGCTTAGGAAAATTTTACTAGTATGATGCGAAGTTATCATTACGTGCGAATGAACGTCCGAGAATTCATTTACATTGTAAAATTATAATTTAAATTAAATACCATTCATACAAGAAATGTCATAAAAGTTGCATGAAAAAAACATATAATTTCGTAACTGTAATTATAATAAATCTTCATTTCCCTAACCTTTCTTTTTAATTTTCTGGCATAGAATTTATAAATTGTGATATTTCATTAATGATTACCATCTTATAAAAAATTAAATGAATATAATGATTTAACTGAAGGAAATTTAGTAATTTTTAAATGAAACATTGTGTATTAAATTGTTATTTTCTTCATTTTGAAATGCCTATTATTGTACATACGTGTTACAATATCAAATAAGCTTATGTATTAAAAATTCTGAATTACGTTTCTTATACGGAATATTTATTTTTTCGCATAAATTGTCCAAGCTCTCCTTGTTATAGACAATATAAAAACTTAAAGCCCGGAGTATTAATAATATAAAAAACGTCGTAGGTGTGTGTGAATTCCTTGTGACTCCTAAAGTTTTTATCCAATCCGGATAAAATTTTAGTTTTATTCGTTCCATATTTTATCGGAAAGTATAGACAAATTGTTTTATCTAAATATTAGCTTTAAAATTGACTTTTTATTGATTTCTGACCGCTCATCGCACTTATATCATAGTGACTCGGTGACTTTATTTAGTTCATTTTTAAATATTTTGGCAAATTGCGTATTTTAAACTTAGTTCGAGAATAAACAATATTAAAGTGTGTATTACTAAAGAAAGACAGCACGAACATCACATTAGAGTATTTACTCAGAATATAAATAAACTGTAATATTTTAATATAAAGGCGTAACATCTACTGTTTCTGTCCACTTTAGGTGAGATTTAGTTTTATTGCTCTATATGTTACCACAAATAGCGTGTTTTAAAGTTATTTACGACTCCCATTCCAAATATTTAATCGAACGCACTATTACAAAATTAACGTGTATTATTTCATACTGACGTATGGATATATTGGCATTCTTCATCAGGCAAGATCAATACGATAATATTCAAATTGTTATAATTAAAACACAAATGACGTGAAGAAATTATTCTTAAACAAAAATAAGTATTTTAATTGCAATAAATTTTCAATGAAAATAAGATTTATACAGTATTTTGTAGAATTATTTTCGCTTACGAAGTTTTGACAAAATATTGCAAAAATCATTAGGTTCAATTAGTCTTAAATGTCGAATTTAGAAGAATCTCTCGTTAAAATTTTTAAAAATTGTATAGAATATGAATGAATATTCAGCATTCGTAGGTTATTGTAATGTTGGCGGAGTATCGGAATCAGTCGACTTCTTTTGTTTCTTTATCATCTCCAATCTTTTCTTTCTCATGTCGATGAGAATTTCGGATGCTCTGACCACTTCTGTATCTGTTTTTTCCTGTTCCTGCAACAACGAATATATAAATTATTAGTATTTAAATTTAATTTTCGAACAAAAGAAAATGAAAAAGTTTCCGTTGAATAAATGTCAATCTTAAAATATAAACAGAATTC